ACGCCACTCCTTGTCGGCTTCGACCACATCGTCATCAGCGCCGACTGCAGATTCGTCCCACGTGCAATTGTTGGGTTGGCCCCATCGTAGTGTTGGAGCCAGAGCCGGTACATACACATCTGCCGGCTTGTTGTTGTCCAGTTCTGACAAGTACTCGTCGAACGACGATGGAAGCAGGAGCGTGAGCATGGGCTGATTGCCCCTGGGTTGAGAGAATGCCTGATACGGAGGAGCAGGAGGCGCAGGAGGAGCAGGAGGCGCAGGAGGAGCAGGAGGCGCAGGAGGCTGTGGTGGCTCTAGTGGTTCTGGAGGGATACAGGTATACCACCCGTCAGCGTCAACTCTATACGCGGGCCTACTGGAAGGTTTCTTCCTGAAAAGAATGTGCTTGCCTGTGAATTCCGCCATGGCTTCCGCAGCCTGGCGGGTGAGAACGAGAAACTGAATGGAAAACTAAAAGCATGGGTGAAGATTTGAAAGATTGGAGGGGACTTCTTCGGGTTAGCGGCTCTGGGTCCTCGTCAATGAAAGACGGGAACCCCCCTGCCTGAACCCGCAGAGGAGGGTTCATGGCACCAGACATGCTGCGCTGACAAGGCATATTCCACGCCCTTTGAGAGGGCTCGGGTGAATGGTACTGCCTGACAGCGCATGACAATCCGATTGGACCGCACGGCAGGTTTTGCGTCAGCGCTAGCAGGTGCATTGCTCCAAGACCGTTTGTGTGCGGTGGGAAATCGAATCGCGGCAAGTTTCACCAGGATTCCATGCATGATCCTACGTGTTGGTAAGGGTACCAAAATGAAGGCGTGTTGGTACCCACAACAGGTGTGTTCGCCTTATTGCGGGCTTCATTTTGGTACCCTTGTCAGAATATGATGTTTGTCTAGCCTGCAGTGGGGTACTCTACAACGAGTATAGCCCAAATTAGGGTTTGTAATATGTACTCAACTGCCTGCTAGTGAAACCCCTCTTTTCTGTTTCTCATTCCTGCCTAGTAATTCTAACATGGTATCAGAGCTCGTTCGTTCCTAGCCTGTGGGCCCACCGAATTGCTTCCGCTGCTGTCCTGTCTGTCGCGCGCCCCGTGGCGCGCGACGTTTTTTCTTCCCGCCACGCGCTCGGAGCGCATGGCGGTTATCTGCCCGCCGTGCGCTTGGGGCACGCGGCGGTTTTCTGCCCGCCGTGCGCCCCGAGGCGCGCAGCGGTTTCCTGCCCCGTCGACCCGCGCGTCGCCCCCCGGGAGCCCGTCGCGTCGCCCCCGCTGCCCCGTCGCGACGCCCTGGGGAGCCGCGCGCGGCCCCCGTGGCCTCGTCGCGACGCCCTGGGGAGCCGCTCGCGGCCCCCGCTACCCCGTCGCGACGCCCTGAGGAGCCGCGTGCGGCCCCCGCTGCTCCGTCGCGGCGCCCTGGGGACCCGCGCGGGGGCCCCCGCTGCCCCGTCGTGGCGCCCTGGGGAGCCGCGCGCCATCCCCCGAGCTGCTGCCCGCGCACCGCCCCCCCGTGCTGCCTGTGTTAGGGTTTGGGGGTGGCGACCGTGGGGGTGGCGAGTACGGGGGTGACGGTAAGAGTGTGCGCCGTCCCCTGCTCCTCCTCCTCCTCCGTCTCCCACTGCTGCAGCTGCCGCTCAGGGGGGTGGATGTGTTGGAGCCGTCGGAGTGGTACGAGGGGGGTGGCGTGTGAGGAGTGCTAGGGGTACAGCAGGGAGTGTGTGAAAGGGGTGTGGGACAGTTGGGGGAGGTTGACAGGAGGTAGCCGTTGTGACGTCAGCAGCGCCAGTAGTCCGGGGGTTGAGTACTCCGGTAGCCCAGCGAGCCTGCTGCGCCAGTCGCCCGTGGGTCCGTTGCTCCTGCAGCTTAGTGCGGAGCCAGTTACTCCTGTAGTCCGGAGGTTGAGTGCTCCGGTAGCCACCGTGCGCGCCGTTCCTGTTGCCCGAGTGTCTGTCGCCGTGTAGTCCAGGGCTCTGCGCCTAGTAGCGACAGTGCTGCGCGCTTTGTTGCCCGTGTGTCTGCAGCTTCAGCCGTCGCCTCCCATCTTCTCGCCCCTACAGTTTCTCCTCCTCCTCACTTGCCCTCTGTGATAGCCTCTAGTTTGCTTATTCTTTGTGAACTATTGCTATAATTGCTCGCTATGCTGATTATACCCCACTTTGACTATGGGGGTGTGTCAGAATATGATGTTTGTCTAGCCTGCAGTGGGGTACTCTATAGCGAGTATAGCCCAAATTAGGGTTTGCTATATGTACTCAACTACCTGCTAGTGAAACCCCTCTTTTCTGTTTCTCATTCCTGCCTAGTAATTCTAACAACCCTTACAAATGAATTTCAATTTTGACATTATAAAGGCGCCGGCGCTTATGGCCGTTACTCGATTACAAGCGCCTTCTAAAAAAAAACGAGATTTCATTATAAGCGCATATGCGCTACTATCTGGGGCCAGATGGTACTAGCTATGCATGTAATTATATAAGAATATTATATTCTAACATCCCCCCTTAATTGCATGCAAGTCTAGCTAGTGTAGGGGCGCTCAACCCCAAGTGCAGCAATCACTGTGCAGCAGCTGGGCCCATCGTGGATCTCTCCCACGGTAGGATACCCGCCTGCGGTTTAAACCCCCACAATGGATGCCCGATGTTCGCGACGAAGGGCGACCACACCCAGATACAACGGATAGAAACGACACAAGAAACAAAACGAGAAAACATAATTGAAGAATCTCACTCTCTCTTTCTCTCCACCTCTCTACCCACCCCCTTAACCTCTCTCCTCCCCCCTCCCCACACAGCAGCAAGTGCTGCAAGGAGAGAGGAAGTGGGAGGGAAAGGGGGGGGGGGGGGGGAGGGGGGGGGCGTTAGCAGATGCTGGTGCTGGCGCAATCATTTGTGCTGGCGCTGGACGCTGGCGCACGTCCATTGCGTTGGCGCTGGCGCTTGCGACCACCACTGGCACTGGCGCTGGTTGCTGGTGCACGTGCAGGACGTGACAGGACAGGCGCGATGCGACGAGACGGGCAGGTGCGACGGCCCCAAGGGGACGGGACGGGCAGGCGCGACGGGCACAAGGGGACGGGACGGGACGGGTAGTGCGGGGTGGGCAGCGAGCGAGTGCCTTAGCGGGTGATGCGCAGCCACGTCTAATAAAAATATATATATATATATATACTGGTCCTTAGGATCTGTTACTTCTCTGATACCATGCCAAGATAGGCCCTAAGTAGCTAGTAACTAGGGTTTGAGGAGGTAAGGAGAAACATGGCGAGAGGATCGTGAATTTGGCGAAAGGAGGTTCAATCTTGAGAGAGATACAAGATATAGAAATCAGAGGTGGCCAAGGGAGGTACACCATGAGACTACACTACTAGCTAGGCATGTAGTCATATAAAAATATTATATTCTAACACCTGTGTGGATATTTGTGTCTCAATCCTCTTTTTCCCGAGTCGCGTCTGCAAATTTGCCCAACCTCGCGTCGCAAAGAACAGATGTACCGCGACATAGTGCGACTGATTCAGGGGTACAGGTGGTCGATTTCCATTGGCTGACACCATTTGACTCGAGCTTGGACGTTTTGGCGCCGGGCAGAGTTGCAAAACCATTGTGCATGAAATAGAACCAATAAAGCGGGTCACAAAAACGCAGCTTGCAAATGAAGCGCCACGACTTGGTTAGGAACAACACACACAGCTGCAACCATGAGGCAATTGTAGAAGTACACACAGCAAACACACCACATACAACTGCAGTGCTAGCCGCATTTGCAACCATGGAAAGCCTTGTGCTGTGCCTTTCCTCATGCGACTGCTAGTCGCATGGATCATGTTCGACTATTATATTTTCATAGACGTGGTCACTAAGGTGGAGGCCAGCTTGCTGGAAGCCGATGTCTTTGCCGATGACTCCACGTCGTCTAGCTCACACGGCTCCAACGGGACGGTCGAACGGACGAGAAGGTCTAGTTTGCGCGCTCGTCGGTACGACCTGTTGCTCGAGGACATGCAGGGCATGGGAGACACCGAATTCAGAGACCTCCTCAGGATAAATCGTGAAATACTAGAGTACATCGTCAACGGCATGGAATACTACATGCAGCCGTATGTGGAGAGGTACTACCTGACCCATGAGGTCGCGAGTCTCGTCGCCATAAAATACATTGCGAGTGGAATGTCCTATGTAGACCTCGCCTACCTATTCGAGATGTCGAAAACCATCTGTCATGCGCTCGTCGACGTGTGGCTCATGCACTTCCCTTCTATCTTCAAACAGCAATGGGTCCACTTCCCGATCCGCGAAGATCTTGATGAGATGGCCGATGAATTTCGTGCCGTCAAAGGGGTACCCGCTGTAGTGGGGGCTATAGATGGGACACATATACATATAAAGGGCATGGAGGGACATAGGCAGGAGTACTACGCGAGGAAGTCGTGTTACGCCGTGCAACTGCAATTGACTTGTGATGCGTGCGGCATCATATGGGACTACCTGATCGGATACCCCGGGAGTGCGCACGATCAACGAGTGTTCATGAACAGTGCGTTACACGAAAGGTTGGACAACGGCGACATAGCGCCATATCAAATCGTGGGAGATGCTGCTTACCCACTCAGGGATTTCTGCCTGACCCCACTACATGCGCTCGAGAGGGCCTAATGGAAGACTGGAAGCAGTGCTTCAACTATTGCTAGAGCGCAACGCGCATGGTAGTAGTGCGCTGCATCGATGCCTTCAAAGGCAGATGGCGTCTATTCGCGGGCCAGAATGACTGCAAGCTGTGGCGCGTGATTGCAGGCGCGTCTTGTTGCGTCATCTTGCACAACATGTGAGAGATAATGGGGGAGGTGAGGCACGTTAACATGACATGGGCCAACTTGCCATGAAACCGGGATCCATGGTGGACACATGCGCGTTCGCCGACTTCAAGTCGGAGCCGTGTGTCCCATGCACACAAGCAACTCTGCAGGATAGGAGCAAGCGGCTTGGCGAGGCTCTAGAGGCGTCTTAATTTACTCGGCGTCGTCGAGGACCCACACCTTCTCTTCCGCATCCGGGTTAGCAGAGGCATCGCCAGGCTGCTCGCGGCGGAACCATCCATCGCCGCCGCCTTTGGCGGCGTTCGTAGCAGGCTGGGTGTCCGCCTCCGCGGGGACGTCGTTGCGTGACGGCGGGGCTGGGGAGGTTTGTTGCAGGCGTTCGCGAGCAATCCGCTCATCCTGCTGCATCCACGCGCAGACGAGGCCGCCAAGCCTCGTTATCGAATCCGAGTGGCATCCCTTGATGGTCTCACAGACCAACTTTGCGGCGGCCATGGTGGACGTCTCTGCAACTCGCGGGCGCTTCGAAGGCGGGGTGCTCTGTGGAGGCGGGGCTGGACAGGCAAGAAAGTAGAGTAGGTTGGTGTGTGAGCCACTTGCACGTGTCAATGTTGTTGGTCAACCTCATAATGCAAAAATTGAGCAACATATGACTATCAATACGGGCAGAGAACAAATACAAAGTTCAAACTCACCTGTGAACGTTGGAGTAAAAGTGCATGGAGCGGACGCAGACGGCACCGCAGACCCGGATGGCACATTCACTTGTGTCGCGCCGCCGCCGTCCACGGCATGCGGGTTGGCGACGGCCCGGTTGTTCTGGAAGAGCTCCATGTACGGGAACCACGGTGGCTTCGCCACCGCACCCTTACCTGACGCCTTCTCCCCCTTCTTGAGCTGCTTGTAGATAAACACGAGGTTGCGCCACTGCTTCTGCACTGCGTTCACGTTGCACACCCAACCGGGGTTCTCCTTCTCAATGTGACGCACGAGGGGAGCCCAATACTGAGAGCATTGCTTCCTGAGGAGAGGCTCGAGCTCGTCCTTCATGAACCAACGCGCGGCGACGAAGATAGTGTTCTCAAGCGGCGACCATATGCTACGCTTCACCGTGATGTGGTCACGGGTCTTCGGAGCGCCGCGAGTTGGTTCGCCACCCTTGGCGATGGTCTTGACACCAAAAGCAGGCTTGGCACTGCCGCAGCGAGTGGTCAGTGCCTCGGGCTGCGTTTCCTCCGGTGCGTCATCGTCGTCGTCCGCAGCGTCGTCACCATAAGCGTCGCCCTCGAAGTCGGACATTCCCTTGTCCTCCTCTCCTGAGTCCGCCTCATCGTTGGAGCCCATGGCGTACTCGTTGTACCCGTTACCAAACACGTTCTAGTCCACGACGCACGAGGATGCAACCCGGTCCGGGTGTCGGGACGTCGCGCGGGGCTTGGTAGGAGGTGTCTCCCGGCGAAGGTGTTCCCTCGGGCAGCGGGCCCGCGGGCTTGCGTCCAGCCGCAAGCTGCTTGTTCATCCAGGCAATATACGGGATCTCATTAAGATCGCGCGGAAACGGAGCCGCAATTTCGGTCGCGCTTTTCTGCTTACGCGCCATGGCTACAAAAGGGCCGAGATCTATAGAAATGGAGAAACAATAAATGGGAAATGAGGTTGGCAGAAGGAGATGAAGAGATGGGGGAGAGAGAGATGACAGAAGGATCGAGAAGGTGAGTGAGTTTGGCGGGCAGGCATGCGCGAAAGTGGGGCGTGGGTACAACTCGTTGGGCTGCCAGAACTGAGCGGTTTCTTTTCCAGCTCAAATCTGACACCCAGTCGGGCATCTCGATGCATACGGTCGGGCCGACCTAATGCTTGACATTTCGACACGCGTGCGATTTCCTGGATACGACGGGGCCTTGTCCAACTCGTCCGCGACAGTAGCGCATTACACGCTGACCAATATAAAATATAGTAAAAGTCGCCCTAAGGCGACACGCGTTTGTGTCGCAATACGTTTATGTTGTTTTCGCGCGTCACAAAGGGATTGAGACACAAATGTCCACACAGGAATGTACCCTGAGGGCGCGTAATCGTTTTGACCCTGTCGGTTCATTTATCGGACTGTCTGTTTGAAATGGTGGTTATTCCTGTCACCAGGGTTAGCTCATCATTTCGCAAATAACCATGTGACGTCGTAGTCGCAACAAAACCGAGTGAAACTTCTATGGGAAAAAGGAGGAAACCGAAAATCCGAACAGTTACGAATCATGACAAACGATCGGGTGCAAAATGGCGGGTTATGGTTGGAGGGCAAAAATTTGCTGACACTGCGGCAACATATGAAATTGGAAGTGCGTCGAGTGATTTTGGGCAAAATGTGCGCCTAGTAGAAGCATTGGCGGGAATTGCACCGTCTCTTCTTGGCAACACTGGCCAACCCAAAGTGTTGATATACCACAGAACGAACCGAACAGTTTATCCTACACCTACCAAGCCATCATAATAGCATACAAATCTAGTGTCGTTGACACCTCCCAGCCAACCGCTGCCCATCTCGAGTAGTACCACCAATGACCCTGTTGTTGCAGTAGACAACAACTACTGACTCAAAAGTCTGCTATTCCTAGTCCTTTTATTACTGCTACCTACACAGCATCGACAACTACTACTCCTAGTGCTGCCACTACGTTCCCTAGTACTACTAACTATCAAACATATATTTGTGGTAAGCTATAGTGAGGTATGCCATAGGGAGTACAATTTTCTAAGGTTGGCTATTTATACTCCATTGTTGTTAGTGCAATTCATTCCGCCATTCTAACACGGTAACCGAGAAGGTTCGTTAAGGCTGTGCTGCTGCCTCTGCGTGCGCACTGTCCTACTATCGCGCTCCTACCACAGCTATGCCGCTACTGTCGTGCTATCCCTAGCTGCGCACTGTTGCCACAGCTGAATGCTCTGCCCCGCGCCCGCTGCCCTGCGCATGCTGCTTCGCGCTGCAGAGCTGCCCCACACATGCTGCCTTACCGCGCCGCACTGGCCCGCGTTCCTATTACTCACGCCATGACACTTCGTCCTTCCTCTATTTCACACTCTGTTGCCCTACCGTTACCTCCCCTGTCAACTCTTCTTGACGTACCTGACCATGTATCAAACCGTGCGCGTGCTGCTAGTCTGACTATCACTCGTTGTCTTGCCACACTTGTAACGGACACTACTTTTTTTGTCTGATGCTGCGTCTGCTTGGTCGCTGAGCTCATTGACTTTACTGCTACTTGCCGCCTTGACCACCTTGCGAGTTTAGGTTCTTACTCTGCCTGTCCTTCGTCCATCGGGGGTGAGCTTGCCCTTCGCTATGACGACCTTGAGGGCAGGCAGTTTCAGCTGGAGTACCTTGCGGCTGTTGTACGTTGCCATGCTGCTTGCCCCTGAGGGAGACTCGGATGCACTGGACATCCCGACCCCACGCTCTTTCGCTAAGGCAATCACGTGCCCTTACTCCTCTCAGTGGCAGACAGCCGTGGACGCAGAGATGGCATCCTGGAAGTCCACGGGCACCTACTTCGACGCAAAATTTCTCCTTGGGCGAACATAGTTGATGGCATGTGGATTTTCAGGGTGAAGTGGCCGCCGGGTTTTCCGCCTGTCTTCAAGGCGCGTTACGTTGCACGAGGTTTTAGTCAACGTGAGGGGGTCGACTTCTTCTAGACCTTCTCCCCCACCCCGAAGATGACATATTTTCGGGTGCTAGTGCACGTTGCAGCACAGCATGACTACGAGCTGCACTTCCTCGACTTCTTGATAGTTCTCTTGCATGGAAGCCTTCATGAGCATATCTGGCTGCGCCGTCCACCTGGCTTTACAAGGTCGTTTCCTGAGGGTACCTAGTATAGCCTTCGACGGCTAGTCCAAGGTCTGCGCTAGGTGCCCCGTGAGTGGCACGACACACTGAGGACGACACTTGCGACACTTGGTCTTTGCAACTGCTGACAGTGAGGCACTGGCCCTTGTGAAGGCGGAGATGCAGAAAATACTGACCTAGGTGAGCTATGGAACTATCTTGGCTTGCAGATTACCCGGGATAGAGCAGTGCGCACCATCACTCTGACTTACTCACACATGGTGTAGCAGGTCTTTCAGCGCTTCCGCTTTCATTTCTCCTCACCACAGCCCACTCTGCCTATGGGCCACTCGCTCTCAGCTCCACCTTCGGACGAGTCCGTAGAGCCGAGTGGTCCGTATCCAGAGCTTGTGGGTTGCCTCATGTACCTGATGCTGTGCACTCGGCCTGACCTCGTGTACTCTCTCAGCATCCTGGTGCGCTACGTTACGCCCAGGAGGCACTGCCCAGAGCACTGACGAGCTACTACGAGGGTGATACACTACTTGGCCAATACACCAGGCTTAGTGCTTGTGCTTGGGGGACATGGCTTAGTTGTGCTCACAAGGCACTCAGACGCTTCTTGGGCCGATGATTAGGTGACCACTTTCTGTCTCGGCACTGGCTCGATTTCGTGGAGGTCCACTTGCTCGTCTTCTGTGCTTAAGCTCCAGCTGTGAGGCCAAGTTCTGCGTTGGGGCTATGGTTACGCTGGAGTTACGCTGGCTGACCTACTTGCTCACCGACTTGGGTGAGCGGCCTTATTCTCCTTCGATTTTGTACGTTGAAAATAAGGCCATGATTGCCTTGTGTCGTGAGCAGAGAACGAAGCACATTGCCCTTTATTACTTTCTTGTAGTAAAATTACAACATCGTGGTCAGCTTCACCTTCATTACGTGGCCTTTGAGGCCAACACTGCTGATATTTTTTTCCAAGGCCCTTGGGTCTAGTGATCATCATCGTTTCTGTAGTGCGCTTAGCCTTGTGCCTACTCTGCCTCACTTGCTTAACTCTTGAGCTCGTTTTGCACTTGCTGTACTCTGCTTCATATATGTTCATTTAAAAAGCTTGCTTTCTCTTACGTATAATTTGGCATCGTGCTCATTCCAACTAGGTAGAATTGTATGAGCCCGTTGGGAAATATGGGAGACGGAAATGGGCTCCAACCCATGATTCAGGGTTGGAGAAGGGCGTTTAGCGCACTTTGACGATGCCAAAGCATGCATTACAAGCAGCTGCACTTTTGAAATACGTAAAATGGCATACCTGTATGTTTACACTTGCTAAGTTGTAATAAATGTACTGTTATAGATGTTGTAACACTTCATGTGAAATGGCTTTCTAGTCGTTTGTTTGTGCTCGAACTGTCTAGTAATCTTCAGATGCACCGTAAGCTTTGTTTTGTTTCTTCTCTTGATTGGTCTTGTGACCATTTCTTTTTCTTGCTAGCACTCACTTCGTCTATGGGGGTGTGTCAAATCTTATATATATGTTGTTATAGGCTGTGGTGGGGTAGCTTGTATAGGGTACAACCCTTTTAGGGTTAGTACTTGTATCTCCCATCTATCATAGTTCATCATTCCACTGTTTGCCTTTCTAATACTTCTCTCTCCCTGTGCCTCTCATCTACCCATAAACTTCACTCTCCTCTCTCTCCATGCTTCTCATCCTCGCATCCTCGTCACTCTCCTCTCTCCCTACGCCTCTCGTCCTTCCATAGCCGTCTGTGAGGATCAGTACTCTAGCTCAAAATGTTAAGTATCCATCCTGGGTAGAACTAGTAAAGGCACGAAACCTCAGTAACTAGGATGTTGCGAGAAGGTTCCGCGGGTCGCGAAGCGTCCCGAACGGGTCCTTCCCGAATTCGGTAGAAGCCTCTCGGTGGCAAACGAAAAGCACCGAATTCGGTGCACGCAACCTACTTCGGTGCCTATAACTATAATAAGTATAGTTAAGCAACGAAACTAGGAAAACAAGCAAAATCAAGCACAATAATTATAGAAATGAGCAAGATAATGCACGATAAAGTAAACATGTGTAGGCAGAGCTGTTGTACTCTCACACCGTTTCTCTTCTCTCTCCTCGCGCCTCTCATCCTCCCATCGTTGTCGCTCTTCTTTTTCCCAGTGCCTCTTTCTCCCATCATCGCTGCTCTCCTCTTTCCCCTAGCTCTTCATCCTCCCAACATTTTCAATTATTTCTCTCTCTCCCAACGTTTCGATAATTTAGTGTGAACCCGGGTAGCAAAGAACGGGGACACGCATCGCATCATGCCGATAGAAACGTGTATTGCAATCACTCTAGTATATTTGGGGACGAAGCCGACCTTCAGGCACCTCGGGTTGCAGTTTGGCATCGCGCTGCAGCACGTGAGATGCATCACTCTTTGCTTCATTATATTTTCTTGTACGATGTCTTACTGCCACTTCGGGTTACATGGCCAACAAGCGACCAACTAGATATGATGGCGGAGAAGTCCAGATACAAAGGTGGTATACTAGAGCAATTGATGGAACTTTCATCAGATGCAGAGGTTTCGGAAGAGACAAAGAGGAATTCGAAAACAAAAAATGATTATGCTGAACCATACTGCAGCTAATCTGTGACTTGAATGGGATCATTTGGGATTGGCTAGCAGGGTGGCCGGGAAGCATCATGACGCCTGGCTTTTCAACA